CTAATCAGCAGAGCACCACTAATGTGGGCTCATACTCCCAGGGCAGATCTCCAGGTCCAGGTGTTCAATGATTCTGGGCTCCTACCCCATCCCTGCTCTGTTCCTCTTTCTCCCACCTGTGGGTTGGGATTGGGGGAGGCCTTGGGTCCTACCAGGCCTTGGCTTTACCACTATACCCTTTTCTGTAAGGTCTCCTCTTCTTCCCCAGATGTGGGTAGTGAGTTCTTCAGTCTTCATGTCATTTGCAGGTTTAGTTGTATTTGCTTTATTTTCGTGTTTTATGTGTTTTGGGAAGGAGGTTTCTGCCTTGCCTTCCTACTCAACTATCTTTTTCTCTGCATTCTTAATAACTTTATACAATGTCATTTCTAGTTGCTTAGAAACAGACATGGAATTGTCTTCTATATACTTATCTGCTATCCAGTGACCTTGTTACTATTGTTTATTCATTCTTTTTGGATTTTTCTCTATTCACAGTCATGTCATCTATTAATAATGGTGGATCTGTATCTAATTCTTTTGTATTTTCTTTCCTTTTCATGACTTATAGAATTGATTAAGATGTTTAATACAATGTTTAATAGAAGTGTCATAAGCTGCCACTCTCATCTTATTCCCATCTCTAGTGGGAAGTTTTCCATATTTCACCATTAACTAGAATGTCTTTCAAATATATTTTATAGATACCATTTATCAGATTAAGGAAATTATCTTATATTCCCAGTTTATCGAATTTTTTTCCACAAATGAATTCTGAATCTTATCAAATGTTATTTATACATCTAACATTATAATCACATGATGTTTCTCCTTCATTATTTTAATTTTCTCAATAAATGTATACATTTACTTAAATCAGTAGTTTCCCTAATCAATCAGATATCACACATTTTAAAAATTAGATATGAAACTCTTCAATGGAAGTGTCTACATTTATAATTCTATAAAAGTTGAGGTTTTGATGTCCATACCTGTATTGGCTTCAAATAGCACACAACAATGGAAACATGTTGAACATCCATTTTATAAAATGCTTTCTTTAAATGATGAAGCCAACATTTTTTTTCACTCATTTGAAAAATCTTAGCTTTCCAGATTGACTATCCAAATTTTTGATAATACACTTTCTTGTCAAGTCTGAATAAACAAATTCCTAGTAAGTAAATATAAATTGATAGCATTGTAATGGAGGGCAGTTTGGCTACATATCAAAACTATACACTTTGACTTATAGTTTAAATTCTCAAAAAAGTGGAATTATTAAGTCTAGTTACACATTTTCAAAATGGTATGTATAAGCCATGTACCTGTATTTGTCATAGAAAAAGTCTGAAAGTAACTCATGTATCAGGTTAGGCTAGGTATGCTGAAGTAACAGACAATACCAAAATTGCAATGGTTTAAAACAGTAAAATTTTATTTCTCATTTATATACTCATTAAGATACTGCTTAAAGAATGTATCTTCCTACTAGAGTCTAACTTATGCAATAGGACCTGACAAACTTTGAGGGCTGAGGTAACAGAAGTATCCCTGTGCTGTAAAGATACTGACTATATCAGTTCTATTTACATTTCTTTGGCAAAAGCAAGGCATTCAGCCAGTTTCGGCCCTAATGAGATAAGGAATTTGAACATAATTCTCTTGCAGAGTAGGGAATTGAATACTGGTGAACTGTAGTAGGCATTACCACAGTCTTTCCCTTCATATCAGCAAATATTTGGTTTTCTTTCTCTTTCTCATACTCACCTCCTCCCAAGGAAAATGACCCAAACCTTCCACTCATTTAGTGCTTTGAGCTCAAAGCCCTAGGTGATTCCAGGAGTTCATCATATGCAGACACTCTCTGCCAGACATACAGAAGGGAAATAAGGCCAGCATACCTGCTCAAACATTTCCATTCAGATCGAGAAATACAGAAACACACACTGGTTACTCATTTAGCAATGTCAATTCATGCTGGCCACATACAGAAATGAGCTCTGTCCTGGGGGTGGCGAATGATCACTGATAGGGCTCTGATTTGTCCTCTTGAAGACAGTGGTCAGGTCATGGGTTCCCTGCTGCCCGTGGTCCTTGAACCCACCCTCTGGGAGGTCGTTCTCTCTCCATTATCTTCCCTGGCTACAACTGAAGAAGACACATGACAGTATAATTTTTTAAGTGGTGAAAAGCTTTCTCAGCCCATTTTCTGCCCACAGACAGTTGGAAACATAACAGTCTACTTAAGGCCAGGCTAGTGTTTCTCTTAATATACTAATTCTCTCAATTTATTTATAAATAGGCACATTCACAATTCTTCTCAAGCCTTGCCTCTCTAAATATACTTAATTGCAGGTACCTTGAGCTTTCAGGGCTTTGTTTCTTTTTTTTTTTTGTAAGAAAGTCACATTCTTAGTCATTTTTCACTAACATTTTTCCAATGAAAAAAGAATGTATGCCTTGCCACTTAACCTGTTCAGACATTTTAGCAATTGTTATACAGTACATATGTTTTATATGACCTTTCTACAAGGCTGATTTCAAAGACTTTCTCTTAATTCTTGAGATTTCCTAGAGGAAATTGTGTCTTGATTTCTTATTTTCAAGTCTGTCTCTCTTTCCAGTTCTTTCAAACTGGCAGTTTCCCCCCTAGGCTCATTATATCTTGGCATTCCTTTTAAGTACAACTAACAGTAGATAACCCATACTACTAGGATTCTGTTTTCCAACGTGTCCATCAAACTGTACAGGATGTTAATGACTTTCCAAGTTATTGCAAGCAACAGTTTTATCACTTTTCTTCAAAGCATAGAGCTGTGTCCTTCCAGCTCTAGCAACACTTTTCTCACCACTCATTTCCTCACCAGGCTGCCAGTGACTTGCAGGGTCTGTGTGAGGGCAGCTCACACATCCTGGTACACTTTCCGCATCAGTCATGACCATCTAGGTTAATGCCATGGTAGCAAATGAAGCATATGCTTTGTGGTGTTTCTCATTCACACAGGTGTTCAGCACACGTCCAAATCACTCTGTTCCTTCTAGATCCCAGGTTGATAAAAGGATACATCTAGAATTGTACTGTTTTCATTTTCTATTGGAGAGGGAGGGAAAGGAGGAAAAGAGAGCAGAACAGAGCATTCACTCTTTCTCCTACTTCATTGGTTAGAAGAAGACACAGGGCCAGGACTTTCTTCACAGGATACGGAACTGATCTCAAAGAATAGGAAGTGAATATTGGCAAATACGGACAAAGCCTGCCACAAACATTCACCAATAAGGGACTGCAAGTTAACTATGGTGAGTTCATATAAAGGAACACCAGGCAGCTATTTTTCTTTTTAAATGAAGATGTACTGGATGTATTTACATGGAAAGAATTCCAAGACTAATATTACTTGAAAGAAGTCAACATTTGAACAGTATGTATAAAATGACACATTTTGTATACAAAGAGAGGGCACGATAAAAATACATATGCTTATTTTCTTGTATAATCATAAAGTCTAGAAGAATATATAAGAAACTGGGTAGATGAAGGCTAAGAAGAAAAACTCGACTATCCCTATTTGTTTTTGCTCTTTGAACCACATAAATGTACATTATACTCCAAAGTTCTTTTAAAAATACTAAGCTATATTTTGAAGGGGCTTTTTTGCCCAAAAGTTTTGCTTTTAAATTTAGAACTTTCTGGTAGATAAGCACGTAACTAATCATAGAAAGGGTCAATTTAGAATGCCCAACTTAGTGAAAAGAAAACAGTTTAACTCTGCCAATTATTTTTATGTTCTTCACTCTAATATTCACATAACTTTCTTAATAGCTGTTCCTCATGTCATCGCACAGTATTTTAAAGATTTTACTAAGAAAGTTCTTATTTTTATAAAACTAACCATATTGATGATACCCTGTAGTATTTTGGGCTTCTATGTTTTTGTTTCTGAAATGTTTCTCTGAGTGGGGTAAGGGATGCATGTTAGGGATATATTTATAGCTGGCGACCTACACTAGACTTCTTTTTAAAATCCCAGATAAAACATTTTCATTTGATGTTGATAATGGCAGTGGCAAATTTTGACCTTAAAATATTTTGTTAAGTTATTGACAATAAATGTTTTCTCTCCTCTCTAATATTTTAGCATCCTATGAAAAAAATAACTGTTGTAAGTTTAAAATAGTGTTAAGACTGGCTTTGAAAATCTATTGTATTTTTCAGTCACTATATAGCAAAACTCCCATACTTAGTACATTGTTTTAAATACATTTAGTTCTTTTGTTAAAAATTTTCAAGTTTCAGAAATATATTTTTTTTCCAACACTAGATGATGACCAAGATATGCAACTATTTAGATGTAATAGGGTTTAATGTATTATTTAGTTTTGGTTGCAATGAATTTAATAAAAATGGAATCAGCAAAGAGCTAATCTTCTGTAAACTTATGTATATATTGTCAGTAGATAAAATCGAATGGAAAAAATTTCATTTTCATAGTTTTATACAATTGAGTAAATGTACTAAAATTTATTAACATTATTTTTGACAGCTGTTTTTTTCTTTATTTCCACAATGCTGTTAAGAAACTTGCCTATATCCTACCATATTTCAGTGATTTTTTTCTGTCAAAGTTGTAATTGCTGCATGTCCACATTTACTAACTTATTCTTGCCATTTACCACTAACCAGCAGCACCATGAGTCTGCATTACACTATGTCACCCAGACACTTGGTATTTTCGGACTTCAACCTGGAGGGTTTGACATAGGATCTCACTGAGGGACGATATGACAAACTTTTTATATTCTAACAAAAGGTAAAAAGCAATATTTACTGCTGGACAAATTGCTGGCTATTGTCAAAATAATATGTTTAAAAATAGAATTTTCCAAATTAGTAAACAGATTATAGTACTTTGCATGTTCCTTACTTCAATGTGAGATATTTCAGTGATGTTCTTACAGTCAGTGACTGGCACTTACAGGTCGTTTACATGTTCTCAGGTTACCTTAGACAACTTTTTCTCCTCTGTTGATTGAATGTGGTCGGGTTTCTCACTCTCCTTGTTTCAGTGCACGTGCCTGTAGTGGTGCTAGTTTCTGCTTAGTGATGGTTTCCAGTTGGCAGTGAGCTGGGAAATGAGACAGCCAAAAACTTTATTAGAAGGAGGAGGCCTAATAATGCAGAGCTGAATATCTCCATCCAGACTGGCTTTTTGTTCATGGGCTTGTTGTGTTAGTTATTTTATGCTGGTTTTATCAGACAAGTTCTATGATGACTATTTTAGTTACCCAGAGATATTTTTCCCATCTTTGAATTTCAGTTTAAGATATTTTCTATAGATTTCAGGTTGTTAGTGACTCAACTCTGGAGAAGCACTTAATGCATTTAAAGAAATGTTTTAATGTCTGATAAAGTCTCCTTTTTCTTAAGAAGCCAAAAATTTTACTCACTATCACATTCTTGCTAAGGTATAAATGATTTTTCTTTTTGTATTTGTAATATGCCTATTTTTATTATTTCAGAAAGCAAGGCCAAGTACTTAAATGAAACAAAATTATTTGGATTATCCCATAAATGAAAGAGAAATTATTTGAGTGAATCATTGTATTAGAATAGCAGAGAATTGGCTAGGGCTCTAAACAGACTTTCATCCTCATGCCACTGAGTCTTGCAACCCTAGCAACGTTCTATAGCTTGTACTGGCAAGTCAGTATCTACTTAGCAATTGCTCTCACAGCCAGGTGTATTAGTACCTGATTACCCCCTGCCTAAATTCATCATTAAACATGCATATGTAAACATTTTTTAAAATCCTCAAATAATTCTGCTCAGGAAATAGATTATGCATAAAAATTAATTAATTTACTAATCAATCAACTCCTCAGCTCCCAAATGTCTAACGGTGGTTATCTGTCAAGTTGCCTACTTCATTTGTAAATTTTCTATAACGATTTTTGAGGTCTACACAGATGTAACCAATTTTAATTTCCAGGCCTATCTCTCACTGTAAATATTAGAAGCAACAAATTTTAATTTCACCATAAGAAACATAACTAAAAAGAAGTGCTGCTTTGTAAAACAATATATTGTATCATATCCTCATTTGGATCATAATAAACCTCAGTCACGTCAATCAAAATATAAATGCAAAAATGTGAACACAATCTTCATAGAGGATTATGAAACATGGGAACTAAATCTTTCCTTATTCAGATGTTTTCCTTAAGCGTGATGAACACTAAAAGTGAGTAATATATAATTTTTACCTAATAATAAAATAAATGAAATAGAGAAATTTCAATGCATATTAATACCATAATTCATTTAAAAAACATCATACAAACTATGAGAGGCTTTTTTATCTGGAGGAGTCTGAGATTTATAGAAAAGAGTTATTTTACCCAAGTATTTTTTTCTTTGTTCTGAAGAGTTTATTTTCCAATTTTAAATACCATACTTCAAGAAAAGTTACAGTTTTGGGGAGCAAAGTGATTTTTTTAACTTTGATTTAAAATGTAAAACCTCTGTTTCAGCCCCAGACAATTGTTTTTTCTCATATGTTTCTTGGGCATATTATTGTAATTTGAAGAGATTCTGAAAATAGAGGCAGTAAAATTGTTTCTGCTTGCATGCTGTGAAATTCTTCCCACAAGATTTTAAATTGAACTTGCTCAACAGGCAGAGAGAACCGCCTTCTTTCTTTCAGGACAAAGCGGACTTGTTCAGTAGGAGGAAAAGGTCTCACGGCATTGCCAGAAAGGGACATGTGGAGTGCACCTCTGACTGCTGCTTCTCTCAACTCTATGCCCATTATCAACAGAGGCCAAAGGACGAAACATGTGCATATGACAAGCTCATGCTAACCTAACTGTGGGAAAAAAGATCTTAAAAACGTAAGAGCGTTTGACTTGTACGTCTTGTGGTCTGAAAGTCCAAAATAACCCATGCTTAGCAGATCAATATAGTCTTCAGTCTGCTACAGGTAAAACTGGAAATAAATTCCATTCTCCTTGAAACAAGGTTTAAGACTTGTTTAAACTCTGAGTCTAGGGTGGGAGGTAACAAAAGGGTAGGGAAATACTTCCTTCTATTCAAATTTTCCATAATAATAATGCATTCTTTTTAGCCCTATAATAAAAACAAGATATTTTAACAAGAAATACACATTTTTAAATTATCATCAGACTTTAAAATCTTAATAAGCCTTACATATTGGGTAAGGCCTCTGGTAAAGTACTGTTTCAATTTGTGGAGTTTCCTATGTCAGGATAACTGTAAGGAGAAGATCAATTAGCTCAAATTGAGAATGTTTCCAGCTGTTATGGACTGAAGGTTTGAGGCTCCCTAAAATTCCCATGTTGAGGTCTAATGGTATTTGTAGGCGACCTTACAAGATAGCAGAGAGCAGGCTCAATGTGTTCTGCCGCGTGAGCACGTGAGAACGCGGCAGTCTGCAGTGAGGAGGAGGGCCCTCCTGCACCTGACTGTGCTGACAACACCATCTCTGTGTTCCAGCCGCCAGGACTTTTCCAAGTACTTCCAAGACCCCAGTAGTATTTTGTAACAATAGTCAAAGCTAAGACACCATTTGACTCCCTCCAGGAACTACTTGCTTGCACTCTGCAGTGTGGAAGGTGGCATGAACCCCTGAGGGAGAAAGGTATGTGAAAGAATCTAGACAAAATGGTAAGACCGAACCATCTGGACCATCTGAACATGAGGGGCCTCTAGAAAAGAGTGGGAAGTGGCATCCCAATGGGATGGCTTGAACTACCTCAGATTGTAAAATTAATCCTCAGAAAAGTGTTCTGAGTAGACAGAACCATCCTAAACATGGAAGACATTCTTAGATACCAAATCGAAACGGGTTGATTGAGTCAGGTTGATGGAGAAAGGCACATAGACTCGGCCAGCACAAGTGATGTGGGACCCCTGTGCAGTTCACCCCCATTGCCCCCCTCCCCCATGCTCGCAAACCAAAATAGGACAGTGCCTGCCTCCCTGATAGCTCTTCACACACTGCAGCTTTCCTCTCGCCTCGATGATGAGAGCCTTTCCCTCTTGTTAATTAGCTGCTGTATCATGTGGATAAAATGAGAGTTCCTGTGGCCAGGATTCTCACCTGGCCCTGGTTGACTAGCTCACTGCACACCTGTGGGCAATACATGGCTGTTGACTCTATAAAAAAGAGCTCCGCCCAGTGCTCTGTGAGGCACACGGCGGCAGGGCTTCAAGGCTGCAGGAGAGCAAGCAGAGGCTGGAGTGGTGGCAGCACCAAGGACAGAGGCCCAGAGGACGGCTGTGTGGGACAACTGTGTAGGATGGTTGTGCAGGCAGAGAGGCCCAGAGGATGGCAGTGCAGGACGGCTGTGTGGACAGAGGGGCCCAGAGGCAGAGACTGGCTTGCTGCATACAGACTCGCTCTGAGTGAATGGGCTTCTAGTGACTGACCTGTCACCATGGAAATAAGGTTGAGTATAACCCTTTCACCCCAAAAACGTTTTACTGTCATTTTCTTTGGTCACACTGAATCCATAGCGAACTTGCCTGGGGGCTGAAACCCATTGGCAAGAAAATCGTTAAGGAATCTGGCTTCCCAGAGGGCTCTTTGGAGTGGCCAGGTAACATAACACGAAAATGTTAATGCCCTTTGGGTTTAGTTTTAACCAATTATGGAATGGAGATAGATGAAGCCAGGTAAGCTGTCTTCTTTTCCTCTAGCAGTGTAACCAAGTCCTATTTCCCAGTAGTCAGCTCTGCAATGCACCACTTCCTCTCTTTTCCTGCCTTGCTGTCTTTTTATTCTCACTCGTGTCTCTGAAATAATTGAAGGCCCCACATTCAATAAGATTAGAATGTATGCCTTACCTCATGTTCTCCTTTTAGGAAACCTGAATCATTGAGAAAGGGAATTGTAGGGGAAAAAATAAAATAGCTTTTTTCTTTTTTGCAACTATTTCTCTCAACTATGCACAGATGAAAGAGATGAAATTGGAAAAGATAACAAATAAGCAAGTAGGTAAGCAGGCAAAGAGAACAACATAAAGGCACTCTCAGTCATAAAGCCTAACAGTTGAGGCAGAAATAAAAATACTGATTTTTGGTGGCATAAATTGGCCAACTTGAGAGAGAATTCACTAAGTCTCTTCATGGCCCAGGTTTCTGGGACTTTTGTGAATTATGTATGTTTTGAGAGTAACTGTCAAGTATATAAAATCTGATGATTACTTTTTTCTTTTTTTGAGAGGGCATCTCTCATATTTATTGATCAAATGGTTGTTAACAACAATAAAATTCAGTATAGGGGGGTCAATGCTCAATGTACAATCATTAATCCATCTCAAGCCTAATTCTCATCAGTCTCCAATCTTCTGAAGCATAACGAACAAGTTCTTACATGGTGAACGAATTCTTACATAGTGAATAAATTCTTACATGGTGAACAGTACAAGGGCATTCATCACAGAAACTTTCGGTTTTGATCATGCAATATGACCTATAAACCATCAGGTCAAATATGAATATTCATTTGATTTTTGTACTTGATTTATATGTTGATCCCACATTTCTCCTATTATTATTATTATTTTTATTTTTAATAAAATGCTGAAGTGGTAGGTAGATGCAAGATAAAGGTAGAAAACATAGTTTAGTGCTGTAAGAAGGCAAATGTAGATGATCAGATGATCAGGTGTGTGCCTATGGACTAAGTATTAATCCAGGCTAGACAAGGGCAGCAAGACATCCACGGATGCAGAAGATTTCTCTCAAAGCAGGGGGGGTGAGGTTCTGAGCCTCACCTCTGTTGATCCCCAAATTCTCACCTGATGGCCCCCCTGCGACTGTGCCTGTCTTAGGTTGTTCCTCCCTTGAGGAATCTTACCCGTCTCTGGCTAACCAGTCATCTTCCGGGGCCATACAGGGAAATGTAAAGTTGGTAAGTGAGAGAGAAGCCATATTGTTTGCAAAGGTTAGCTTTTTACTTCTTTGCAGATTTATGCCCTGTGGCTTCTATGCCCAGCACTTGTCTCGAGGTATCTTTACCACCTGGAGGAATTATGATACTCGGTAAATTCGATATGAGGCACGAATTCTATTTAAGGTTTGTAATTAGGAAGGAAGAAGAAA